ATATATATATATATATATATATATATATATAAAATGAAGAGATGCCATCTACATACAGGTTCTGTTTTTGATGCCAAATGTTTTGGCTGCTTGACAACAGCCATCTTTAGTAGTGAAACAAAACCTTAATTTCAACACAGAACACAGGAAATATGTTATGCTTTGTGTTTATTAACAACTCAAACAATTTTATCATTATTATTACTATATTATTATTATTTCCTTACTGACCTTGATGCTCAAAAAGATCATTGGTGCAGCTGTTATAGTCAAATGAGATTCTTTGAAATATAAAGAAAAAATTATAGTTTTCAGAAGAAACAAACAACATAAAACAGAGTAGATGCTCAAAAGAGAAGGGAAGTTTATTCTTTACAAGACAAGCCAACAATATCATATAATAGACAAACATCTAAAATGGTTGTGACATTTTTTTTCTGTAAAAGTTTTGGGAATTTTATTTTATTTTTTACTAACATGAATCTCTTAAACGAAAATGCTTGAAAGAAGCACTTCAAAAAACTGAATTTATTAAAATCAAAAAATGAACATTGGAATGTTAAAAAAATCCTTATCAAAGATAAATGTTATGAGAAACTTTACAAAAAAATCAAAGGTGATTAAATGAAGGACAAAAATCTAACAAGAAAAGTTTTTTAAACACTGATGTGGAAATGGCTGGAGACAGATCCTAATATGTTGGTTATTGTAGCTCAGATCTAGTGTTTAACAAAATTAAGAAATTTACAATGATATTTATCACACAGTAGAGTCAGATGATTATTTATTATCTGTAACATTTTACACTTATACCTAAGTAACACAACTCTGAAGTCACCTTAATGTAATAACACAAAACAGATCTAAAAGGAAAGTATACATATTTTCTCATGATACAGAACAAGCTGAACATTTTATGTGTTTACTGATGAAATAAATATATCAATCCATCATTTAAAATTATGTAATACCATAAAAATTGATTACATGCAGGAAAAAAAAATTTTTTTCTACTAATTTTATAC